TCTATGTAATTGCAAAAGTAATTTCAAGAATCTTAATAAAGTACTAGCATGACTGCTTAAGTTTAAAAAAAAAAAAATAAAATAAAATTTACAAAAAACTGATGATTATCTGCAAGAACTTTAAGATTATTCCAAAAATTCTATTATATTGTATAAAGAAAAAAATTAATCTTTTACATATAAAATAATTAAAAAAGACATTTATCCAATAGCACCTATTCTTAAATATACTTTGGCATCTAATAAATATAAAATATCTGACAATTATATTGTAGAAACTACATAGAGTCATAAAATAAATAAACAAACTATTAAGTCATAAATTAACTATATTTCTGGTATACCTACATTCTATATCTATTATGGCTCAAAATTTAAAAATTATATAGTTTCAAATAAAACATCTAGTCATGCTGCAACATTATTACATCAAATAAAATATAAATTTTTAATTAAATTTTTTAATTTTTAATATTAGCATTATTAATATTAATTTTTATTATATAGTGAACTATGCCTAATAAATAATCAACATTATTTGGAATTCTTTAATTTGGTTTATAATTAAAAAAAGTTAGTTATAGTCAAAAAAGAAAAAAACAAATTAAAATATTAATGCCAATAGAAATGCTTATAAACTCTATACTTACTAAGCATGCTATTAATTTTTTTAAAAAAATATATACAAATTTTCAAAGTTATACATCTTAATTTTATCATTCAAATAATAAACCTGTATTAGAGTTAATTCAGTATTCAGTAAAATAGCATACCTATGGAGTTAATTATAATACAAAAGATTCTAAGAGATTAAAACAAAAACAAGAATCAATTTGTTGAATAGAAGATGAAGAACATATGTCTTGTAATGCTTATAGTAATCTTGCAGCAGTTGAATCACATCTACCTCGAGTATAGCAATTTTTGAAAAAAGAAAACAAATTACACAAGATATAGCTAAAGTAGTTTTGATATCTATAATTGATATACAAATACAAGCTCAAGTAGATTTAGATGAAGAGCCTGATATTGTTAAAACAGATATTGTAGAAAATGTTATTAATTTAATTAGAAAATGCAGATATAGAAGTATTATTGATATTCTTAGATTTATAATGCCAAATTAATTGAAAAAAGAATTCTTAATTTTCCAAATATTAGTATTCAAATCTCAGATGATGGATTCAATTGTGGTCACAAAGTTAAACATGTTCTAATTACATTTGCTATTCTTGATAATATAACAAATATTTACAAACCTGAATATCATTATACTCTTATTCTTTATCCTAGTGCTGAAGATTATTATTCTTTAAAAAATGCAACAAGATTACTTAATAATGAATTATATGAACTATTTAATAATGGTATTATTATTAATAATACCAAACAGAAAGTTACAATTTACTTTAGTAGTGATTGAAAGTTTTTATCTTTTTGTTTTGGGTTTAATGTACCAAATTTCACCTACTTTTGTTCATGATGCACAATATCCAAAAAAGAATAGAGTAATTTAAATCAAAAATGAACAATCAAAAAAAAAATAGACTTATTAAAAACAAATCTAAATGCATTTTTTGGATATCAGAAACCTCCTTTATTTGATATGATACCTCTTGATAATTGGATTGTTAATGAATTTTACCTTATATTACAAATTACAGATAGATTGTAGAGTCTTGTACTTGCTGAAATTAAGGCTATCAGAGTATATAATAATGTTACAAAAAAGATTATTGTACAAGAAATGAATAAAATTAGTGTATATTTTCAATTTTGAAAAGAAAGTAATACAGACAATTGGTCATATACTTCTTTAATGGAAGATGATAAGATAAAAGTTTTATATAAATTTAATCTTTATGAAATTTTTCCCAAATCATATTCAAAATTAATTCATGAATTATAAGATAAATTTTACATATTATATATTTCATTTTATAATTATAGCACTGATTCACATCAATTTAAAGCTCAAGCAATGAAATGGTTAGAATTTTTTTAACACTATCACAAAGTGAAGCAAGTTCTAGCAATTTTTATCAAGGTCTATATAGACTAGCTGACATTACACTGTACATTCATGTTTTAGTTCATCATATTTATAAATTTATAAACAAACACAAAAAATAGGAAATATTGAGTTTTTCTTATAGACCTGTTGAAAAAAAAAACTATATGCAGGTTTTAATTTTTTTTTAAAAAATGCTAAAAGATGAAGAAAATTCTATTAATAGAAAATCAGCAGTTTATGAAATTTTAAAGTATAAAAATCAATGTTTGGTTTATTAACAAAATAAAACATCTTTGAAATATAAAAAACCCTAATATATTCATATAAAATCCAATGCAATACATTCTTAAAAATTTGTATTCTTATTTTATAAGATAATAAATTTTTTTAGACTGTTCTTTTTTGACTATTATAATTTATAAGCATTAATATAACTACCTTGTTTTGATCTTTCAAATATAAGTACAAACTATGTAATTGAGAGAATTCTTTTAATAGATTATATAATTTTCAAAAAAATCAAAGGATTTTTGATAGCTTGATTAGATGCTATATAATTCCTAGATTGAATTAAAAATACATATAGTCATATAACAATTATTGGTATATAAAGAATAAATGCTTTTTAATTATTGGATTTTGGTTGAAGTAAGTTAAAATTAGTTTATTATTTTTGTATACAATTTTGTTTCATTTTAAGCATATTCATTTATTTACAAGTTTAAGTGTATTAAACCAAATATATGAGTTAACTCAAGCTACTATAGCTATAATACGAATATATTAAAAACATTAGAAAATATGCAAGTTTAGCTAATATAGCTTACTTATCACTCATAACCCTCAGAAAATATAATCAGAATAGTTTCTTTAATAGATTAATAATATTCAACCTGGTTAGATAATGCTTAATCTTTATGTTGAATTGGAAAATATATATAGTCATATAACAACTATTTAGAGTAAAGCTTAATATTAAATAGTTCTTAGATTTTTTTTTTAGGCAAGGTAAGTTAAAAATTTGTATTTATTGTATACAAATATTGTTTATTTGAAAACATATTATTATTTACAAGCTTAAAAATAGCTAATCTAAAGTATATAAATTAACTTAAAATACTATAACTAATAAATAAATATTAGATGTACAAATTTTAGCTAATATAATTTATCTATTGCTTGTATCAAATATGTAATCCTTAGAAGATGTAATCAGAGTAGTTTTAATAATATTATAATAATAAAAGATTTTTTGATAACCTGATAAGATAGTATATGATCACTATGTAGAATTGAAAAATATACATAGTTATAAACAATCATGTAGAGTGAAAATTAAATATTACTTGATTCTCAAAACTTATTTTGGACAGAGTAAATTAAATTTGGTTTATTATTATTGTATACAATTTTGTTTTATTTAAAGAAATTTATTTATTTATTAATATAGCTATAATAAGTAAATATATATTAGTTGTATTTCAAAAAGATTCAAAGGATATGCAAATTTTAACCAACATAACATATATTACTTAATATTAAATATCTAATCTCAAATATAATCAAAGTATATTGACTAGTGAGAATATACAAATTAAAAATACTGGTACTAATCTTTCACTAGTATGTATTAATTTTTTTTTTAATTTATGTATATTTTTTTATTTTGTTAATATTTTTATCTTATTTTATGTTTATAGCTCTGACCAGATATTAATCAAGAATGAGAGTTAACTGATACTGAAAAAGAGAAGGCTACTAAAATAATCTCTAAAGATTTGGCATACTTTAATGAACAACAATCTACTAATCAATTTATAGTAGCTATTAGGTAAGTATTAAAATGTTTAGAGGAAAAATTGTTTGAGATAATTATAGATAAATTTGGATTCATATTATTTTATAATCACTTTGATATGCTGATTTTGAAGAATACTATAAAGATTTTGTTAAGTTTTAGAACTGATTAAAGAGATAAATAACAATAATACACATATAGTCATATTTTGAATAAACTTAAATTAGGAAAAGAATAATATTAATTAGTTTTTAAAAAATGTTATAAGAATTATTTTGCAACTTAATTTGGTTAAAAAGATATTGTAAAGGTTTCTTGAAATTATAATATTATTTTTAAATAAAGATTATAATATAGCAGTTTTTAATAATAATTTATTAATATTAGTATTTATTATATTGGCAAAGAAATTTTTTATGATAATGTAAATTATTTACAATTTGAATTAATTTTATTTGTAAAAATTTTATTTCTTTATTGTATTTAACAATTATTTAAAGAAAATTGTTTTTGATAAATAAAAAAATAAAAAAAAACAGTTCTGGCTAAAAATTCAAAACTATTTAGATTTTCTTTTTTTTGCTTTTACTCAATAAGTAATTCATTATGATTTACTTTAAATTTTCTAATTTTTTTTTTAATTTGATTATTTTTTTTGTATAGTAATAGATTTCTTCTTACTCATGATTACAACTAAGCAGTACAAATGTTTGCTGTTAATGCTTTGTTTTAAATTCTTTATAGCAAGTTAAGCATCAGAATATTCTAAAATATAAAAATTGGAATATTAATTTTTTTTTTATATAATAAACAAAATATAAAAAAACTTATACTCATTAACAAAGAAAATTTTTTATTAATTACAAAATATTACTTTTAGTGCTTATAGATTTTGTAAATAGCTTATGAGTTTTAATATAACATATAATGTTTTAGTTTTGTTTTGATTTTTTAGTAATATAAAATAGAGTGATTTTTAGCATTTTTGATGATCTTTTTTAAAATTTGTATAATTTATAGATCAAAAAAGGCTCTAATTTCAAAAATTAACTGATATGTTTTATATAAAGCTATTGATATATGTTATACTAATAGATTACAGATATATACTAAGTATCAGTAAGCTATTAGCTGATATATAATAGAAAGTTTCTACTAGGTTTATTAAACCTATTATAGACCTATCTGCTTGCTAATGAGCTACTAAAACTTTATAGTTGGATCTGTATTAAAGATTCTTGTCTGTACAAGTAATTTGGTTTAAGTTTTTTTTTCAGATTAAGATTTTTATAAATAATATTATTAAAGATTATATTATTTTTTTGTTTAGAATTTTTATACAGAGTTTTTTATTTAGTATATATTTTTATAATTTATTTATATAATATTGTATACTTTAAAGTTAGTCTTGATATAATTAAAATTACAGAATTATAACTTTAAATACTCCTTCTAAGTTGCTAAATTAGGTTTATTTTTTTAAAATTCTGATATTGATTTTGAACTCTGAACCTATTGCTTAAAGAATAACAATTTAATTTCTATATTAGAATCATTATTCTCTTTTTTTTATAGTTTGATTTTGATTATTTGCTATATTATCTTCTTTTTTCTTATTATTAATTATTTTATTTTTTTTTTTTTATTTTTTTTAAAACTTTGACAGCCTTGCTGTAAACCTTTATTAAGATTCTTGTACATATGTTACATACATTTTAACTTAAATTTCTGGTCCAACATCTTCTAGCTACTTCTTTGAGTGCCCAGAGGCGGTCTGCCACACTGGTTGGGGATGTACCCAGATTCAGGGGCTGTACCAGACTAGCCAATAAGGCCATATGTAAATGACTTGATTTACTATAAATAAAATTTGCGATTGAGCCAGACCATGCCTTATGTATTTCTATTTTTTCTCCTCTTTTTTACTTTCTATTGTTTTCATAGTTTGGCTCTTTTCTATTCTAATAGTTTTTCCTTTAGTGTTAACCTTGTTAACTTTCTTTGTTGAATTTTTCTTCATATTTCTTTTTCCTCTTTTCATCTTCCTATCAATTTCTATTTTTTTTTCCTATAGAATGAAGACTTCACATCATTTTTTCCATATATCTTCATAAAAGCAATTCCATGCTGTGTTAATTGTTGTTGAAACAAACTTTTTCATTTCCTTATTTGAATCTAATAGATTTCG